TCAGTTTCCTACTAAAATATTGCTTCGCCTCTATTCTGGGACAAGAAAATGGCCAAACAACACAACTTGTCTTTTGTTTCCATGGGCACATGGCACTTGTTTGGAAATATGTTTAAAGAAGCCATCCCTGGCCAGGGGCCAGGTTTTCTAGTGCCAGCTCTGTCCTCTTAGGTGGTCCATTGTTTGGCAGGTTTCCCAAACTGAAGTCGCTAGTTATTAATTATGCTACTAAACTGGCTGTATGTCCTGGAGAAAGTCCCCCTTCCCTGCTTGGGTGGACTTCATTTAATTGTAAAAGCTTTGTGTTTACAATAATCAGATCTACAAGCCTTAGGATCTTGTGTGAGTTTCATGAGCTTATTGTTTGTTTTAAGTGTGTGATTTCTAGCTCCCCTTCCTTATAATGAAATACAGTGGGGTTTTATTTAATAAATTGAAAAACCTTGTGTTGAATATTGACATTCAATCTCAGTGAAGTAATGGTTTTATAAAGCACAACAATAATTGTTTTAAAGAGGAAATTGTTTATTGTCAAATCATGTCATGACTAAATCATTAAAAAAAACAGACAATGGAAGGCACTTATGTTTCTCACGAAATGTTCCCTTTCACAGGGTTAAAGACTGCTGTGTTTTATGGCAGCATTAGAGGAAGCCTCCAGTACTTGGCTGAAATGTTGGGAGCTATAGACAGGGGCAACTCATGCTGTCCTTACTCCAGGCTGTGAGGTGTTGGAGGGCCAGGTTTCCCAAGCAGGCGGGTGTGCTCACTCTACATCACTCTGCAGCCTCTCAACACCTCCATCTACAGCTCTTGATTGTGTGAAAAAAAAGAAAATAGAACGCTGTTGTGTTGCTTTCTACAGCTTCTTCATTCTCCATTCTGTATTACTGATATGCCCCTTCTCAACCCCCTCACTGTCTCAATAATATTGTGTGTGCCTGCACATGCATGCGTGTGTGGTGTGTTGAAGTGAGCAGGATGATTTCAAAGCAGTGAACAGGAGGCAGGCACACCAAACCTGCTAAATGCAATCTGCTGGAAAATAGAGTAGATGTGAAAAGAGGGCTGGGAGACACAATGACATGTATTTCTCTAGAGATAAAATATCCCTGAGAAATCATGTATTCTTGCCATTTCAGTTTTGGATTTTATCTTCTTTAAAGTTTTCCTTGGGAGCTTCAAAATGATCTGTGACTGTAAGAAAGATTTTAACGGCATTTTACAAGCCAATTCATAAAGAGTTAAAAGATGGCCTCGTGTTTACATGAAAAGCTAGGTGCATTGAATGAATGGTGGTACTCACATACAATGGAATACACTGCAGCTGTTACAGCAACAATGAGATGTATAAGACGTTATGTCGAAAAACGAACTTTACAACTTTGGCCAGGGATGGGATGGAGGGGGTGGGGAAGGGGGAAGCCGGGTAGGGTTGGGGTAGGAAAAGGATGGGAAGGGGAAACAAAGGAAGAGGCAACAATGCTTGATAAGAAATGCACTCATTACCATTCCCATGTAATTGTAACCCCTCTGTATGATATTTTCACAATACAAAAAATATATATATAATAAACAAAGTTGGGGGAACATTGGTGTGAGCTAGCGTTGGGTGTTTTCTAGGAGACATGTTTTTTTTTCTGTACACGTACAGAAAGCATACACAGAAAGGCACAATAGTATTTGCCTTGTGTGTAAGAACAAAGGGAAAACAAGAAAAGTAAGCACATGATCATTTAGGGAAAAAAAACGAAGACACAAGACAAACTAGGGAACAATGGTTATTTGAGAAGTTTTAGGAGGAATGAGGTTGATAGGAGTCAGGGCCGAAAAGAAACATCTTTGAGTGCCATGTATTATGATTTTACCTTTCAGAAACTTATTGACACTCTATATACTAAAAAAAATAAAAATTATTGTGAGTCAAAAGCAGTTTTAGTTAATAATCTCAATTGTACGTGAAAATATACCACAATAGCACTGGAGGGAAAACAATGAATCTATACTATTTTAAATTACAGATTCCATTCTGTGATGGCAGAGTGGGTGAAAGGATCCATCACAGCCATTCCAGGGGACCACACAGAGGCAGGCAGGCGCAGGAGAAAGATTATTAAAATGTTTATTAAAGGAGCCATATGTCCCTCGGAGTGAGAGCACATGGCAGCCTCCACTATAAAGGTAGCAGCACGGTCTGTGGGTAGGAAGTGAGGTAGATGGGAGGTCAGGTGGGTCTGGGCAGAGAGAGAGGGGCCAGCTGTATGGAAGGAACTCTAGGACTGAGAGGAGCTCAGGTCTGGGTGGAGCTGAGGACCAAGGTGGGCATAATGCTTACATTGCCCACTCCATTGTTTAATAAAAATAGGGAGCCCCAGGCCGGGGGGTGTCTAGGGTCTTTTGGGAAACTGGGTAGGAGAGAGCATAATGGACTGGTTGGAAGTACCATTCAGAGGCTACTATAAATACAAATAGCAGGTAACAAAGGCAAGACTGTAACTTTTTGTCCAGCTAGAAGATAGACAGATATGGACATTAGGTGGGAAAGCAACTATTTCTCTTGATCTCCCAGCTCTGATTTATTTTGGAAGGGCGAGCATAAAGTGACTCCATTGAGATTTTCATCTCTTACTCATCTCCATGGATTCCATTGCTAGGACTGACTTTTTCCTGGTGGGTGTCTCAACATCCATTGCTGGGATAGCTTGTCCCAGTTGTTATCTACCAGGTTTAGACTCAAGGTCTGAGCACTGTCCCTGAGCATTTCTACTCGAGGCTAGTGCTCTACCATTTAGAGTCACAATGCCACTTTCAGCCTTTCGCTGGATACTTAGAGGTGAGTCTCTAGCCATGGCTCTAGCCTGGCTCTGTGCTGATTAGCTGGGAAATGGAGTTTTGGAGGGATTCTTTGTGCTTTGGATGGCTTTGAGCTGTGGCAAAAGGAGTCTTTTTATTTCCAGTTAAAGCAACAAGGAGATCAATGAGATAGAGATTGCTTATAACTTGTTAACAATTGACTAACAATTATTTGTTAGAGTTTTGTAACAAAACCCAGTAGACGTTTATAAACTACAATTGATTGGCACTCTAAGTAGTGCCGATTGTCTCTGGGCAACCTGTTTAAAGTGCCTTATATACAATACTTAACTTTTAATACATGTACAGACCTTTTCTTGGGCTACAGCAGTATAGCCTGTTTAACACTCTGGTTTGTAAAAGCATTTTTCTGCAGTCTGAGTTACCTTTAGGAAATTTGCAGTTGTTCTTAATGTACTAGCACTGTACCAAGAACCTAGACTTAGCATCGCTTTTCCTTTAGAAATACATCCAGTTATAAAATAGCAACTTCTATCTTTTTCGCATATACCCCTTATGGTCTAACTTGTGGGGATTAACTTTACAGAAACAAATATCTGAACTGGCTTGTGTTTATTCTTTTTTTTACCCCAAATCATCAGCCTTTTGGTCATGTGAGATGGAGCAAGGGGATGCTATGACATCTGTTTCACTTCCCGCTGGTTACCTCTAACACTTCTACAGTGAGGACGGGAAACAAACTCATGTTCTTTGAGTGGGCTTGTTTATTGCGTTAACGGAAAAAAACAGTCCTGACATCACAGGAGATGTGCTGTAGGACTCAGTAAAAGATAAATGGATTGACCTTGTTGGAGGAGAAATATAGAATGAACCTTGTGGAACAGAATAGAATGGAACCTATCTGTTTGAACCTAGGATTTATAAAACATGAATATGTACATGTTCATCTATTCATGTGCCTATGTGTGTGCACTCTTGGTGTAACTATACAGCAAAGAAATCAGACAGCAGAATGATTGAATGGCTACAATTAACATTTTCATCAAGAAACAAATGGAACTCAGGAATGTCTGGTTGTGATATCCTGAGAACGATGTAGCACCTTTGTAGTATTCTAGCAAAAACATTAAGTATAACTTTACTCTGTTTATGAAAATATTAAACAAAAGCAAAATGAGGAATATTCTAATGGGAAAATCAGAGTATGGGAAAGGAATGTATTCTTAAATAAATATCATTGCTCCAAATGACAAAGATGAAGGAACAGAAAATGTCAGAACTAAGGGAGACTACAAACCCTTGCCACAGAAATAATACCTGGTTCTAGGAAGGGGCTATTGTTTCTAATTTGTACTCTTGGTTCCTTCTAAATTTCAACAGTTAAATTACCCGGAAAATATCAGTCTAGTTTTAGAGGTTAGAAGGATTTCATAGGCTGGATGTGCAAGTATGCAGGAAACACACTTTCCCATGTTAAAATGACATCTTTCAACTAAGCATGTTGGGTATATGTATAATTTCAGCACTTGGGAATGCAGAGGCAAAAAGACATCGAATTCAAGGCCACTCTGGACTACCCAGTAGCACGCTTTCTAGAAAACAGAAAGTTTCTCTATAGCAGTGTTACTGTAAACAGTGAAGGGCCCAGTTAAAGATAGAGCGTGGATAATTGGTGTAAGCCACAAAGATTGATCAAGAGAGATGTATGAGAAGTTCATAAGATCTCATGGATGAACTGAGAGAATATTAACATGATTGAATCATCACTGAAGACCAGTTATATATAGTATATATAGGACTCTTTTAAGCTACATTAATGAGCTTTGAAGCTATACAGTAAATTCATTTTTTAAAATTTCTATTTTATTTCACCTTTTAAAGAAATTGTAGTTATCTATAATTGTGGATTATACAGTGATAATATAATACTTTTTTACATTGTGGATGACTGGATCAAACTAATAAATATATCAATGACCATAAATACCTATCTTGTATTCCTCCCATATAATCCTAAGATCAAAGATTTCCCATGCCTCTTATACCTCAACCTCTGGGAACTACTTGTCTATTCTCTGCTTTTATGACTTCTGTTTTTTCAGATGCCAGATAATGATAACACAATTCAACTTACATTAAATTGTGAAGCAATCTAAATGACTTGTGTTGTATCATAATTTTCCTAGGATCAATCCTTTCCGGAGCATGAAAATGGTTTTCAGATTGGGATGAGATTAGAAGGCATTGATCCTCGACATCCATCTGTATTCTGTGTGCTTTCTGTAGCTGAGGTAAGAGATGGTGTTGTCTTAGGCAGATTACGCAATCATAGAATTTTCTAGAAAATAACAGATTTGAGTTATATTGTATCTTTAACAAGGTCCAGTACATTATGGATTTATTTTAGTTGGTAATGGGTAAAATACATTTCCTAATGTGTTTTTCCTTACTCAGAAGATGAATTTTCTAGCACTTCCACCGACTTGTATTTTCTTGACTTAATTGCTAAATAGTTTTCATCTAAGGTTGATAATAATCCATGAGTCCCACATGTTTGTTAATACTGTTAGCAGACATATAATTATTTATGTTTTAGCTGAAGGAGTGAGAAATGGCTATGAATTAAGTTCACATACATGAATTATACATTTATATAAGTATGTTCATTTTATGAAAAGTATATATATTGACTCACCATTCAGGAAAGTAAAAGGCTTACAAAATGTGATGCTTACTAAATGTATTATTAAATCAATAAAGATGTCTATATTTCTAACAGCATTGAACCTAGAAGTCACATTCATTTGCTTTACTTGATTGATTGTAGCTATTAAACTCATATAGCATGCATAGAGGATGTGTTTCTCAGAGTTTTGTTATTTTCAGTGTTGAGTATGCTGGTCCACATGTTAGAGTTAAAATCAAGCTGTGCTTTGTCTTGAGATATGAATCCAAGGGGAACTGCAGGATATTTGGCTTCTGAATGTATATTTGACAGGCATTGAATTACTAAATTAGTCAATTAATGTACATATATTGATCTCAGATTCTTAGATTGGCTAGAAGGCTGAGTTTTGGTAGATACCTGACTATTTACTTCATCACTATTTTGTTTTAATCTGATGCCATAGACTGTATTAATTGGTCCCCAAATGAAAACATTTGAATGGATAGACTCATGTGTAGAGATAAGATATCCGAATATTTTGTGAATTTTGGGTTCACTTCACATGTATGGCACTTAATGAATGGTCACAAACTTTCTATGCTGCAGGTGTGTGGTTACCGGCTGAGACTTCATTTTGATGGTTATTTAAGCTGCTATGATTTCTGGATCAATGCTGGTTCCCCTGATATTCATCCAGTAGGATGGTGTGGAAGGACCAAACATGAACTACACATCCCTAAGGGTAAGCCTGGATGCAGTTACCAACCCAATAGAATCGCTTACTATTTCAGTTTCATTTTAGTAATAGTTCATAAAATATTAACAAGAAAACCCAGTGTCAATTGATTTCCACAATGAAAGTGTGACCCACAGTGTTATCATCTTTAGAAATAAGTACCTTTAGCCAGACACTGGTGGCTCACCTATAGCTCTGGCTCCCCAGGTAGAGATAGGTGAGATCTGAAGTATTATGGTTCAAATCCAACCTAAGCAGAAAAGTTCTTGAGATTTCGTCTCCAAAATAACCACCTTAAAACAAATATGGAGATATGTTTCAAGTAGTAGAGTATCAATTGTGAGCAAGCAGTGGAGCAAGTACTCAGACCCTGAGTTCAAACCCTGGTACTGGTAAGATAAGAAGAAAGGGGGAAAAGAAGGGAAGAAAAGGGGAAGGAAAATGAGGGAAGGGGAGGAGGGGGCAGGAAAGAAGGGGAATAATGTATCTAAAAGAAAAGTATTTGTAACTTTTTAGATCAGATATTCTGATAAAGTACATTAGGCACAAAAATACTACAAGAGCATCTTCTTGTAAAATTTATTAAGCCTTACAAGGATTATAGAACTAATGTTTAAATCATTGTCAAAATGAAATATGTCACTATATCAATGATACTGTACAGTGAAGAGAGTTGAATTATTAGGAATAGTTTGTTGCAAACTTGGAAATAATGGAAAGCGGGAAACTGGAAAGATTCACAGTTTTCTTGGGAAATACAAGTCCCATCTTTGTCTCATTTTATATACAGGAATCTAGGCCAGAAAGATGAGTCTGAATCTTTATATTCACTCTGTGTATATGAGCTGAGGAGTTTTTTCACTAACAACTTCCTTTCCTGCTTGCTGATATTCTATTGGATTATTGTTAATCTGCATAGTCCTCTTATTCTTAGAAATCACTTTGTATGTCTCTTGGGATCTATCTGATGTAGAGTCTTTTGAGACTGTTGGATTTCATAGTTACTTGTCAGGCAACAGGCTCATTCATCCAGTATGTATGATAGAATCCTTACTGGGTATGGTGCTCGTGATGGCAGAGTGAATGAAGCAGTCTTTGTCTTCATGGAGCTTTCCTTCCAGAGAGGGAAGGACTGAGCAAGGCTTCAGGAAAATTCTTTGCAATGGAGGAAGAGTGGGCATGGCTATGAAGTAGAGTTTCAAGGAGAAAAGTGGAAAAGCCAGGCAAGAAGGTAGATGAAACTAGAGGTGAGCTCATGATCTTGAAGTTTGGGCAAGGAGTTTGGCATATGTTCTAATGTGAGGTTCAATCCGAATATATTTACTGAGCTCATGTTATATGGACCAGCTCTGTGTGAGCCACTTTAGAGTACATGGCAGGTAGATTTGTTTTTAATGGAGCTGCCAGATAGTCTTTGGATTGTGAAGGGATTCTTATAATTCTCCCAAGTATCAGGCTTTTTGGGTGCAGTATGGCCTCCCATCTTCTCTGTGAAATGGCTTCTTCAGAGCCAGAGCAACACAGGATCTCCTAAAGCCTTAATGATGATAAGACTTGCATCACGCCAGCATGGTACCGACTCTACATCTCAGTGACCAAAATGTTTGTGGGTAATAAGGTGCCTCCTGGACAAACAAACACATTTGAGGAATATTGGTAGAATGCTTAGGTCTTAATGTAAATTATTTGTGCTATGCTAGGAACATTGGCTGTATAGCAGAAGATTGAATAATAATAGTAACTCTCATATTTAGTATGTATCTGATAATACCTGGTGGTTGTTTTGAGCAATGTGTCTTTTTTTTAGGTTATAGAAAAGATAAATTTGTTTGGATGGATTACTTGAAGGCCTGCAAATTACAAAATGCTCCTAAGAAATTATTCAGAAACAGAAGTTCTGTAAGTATTTTCTTCCTTGGCATAAATCAGGCTTTCCCTTGAGCTTAAATTTCTTCACAAATTCACTTTATATTCTGTTGTATTTTAATCCTTTAAGGAATTAGGAAAGTCTTAACTTCCTGTAACTCTGCTCACTTAATTTGCCACAGTTTCCTGTAGGCATATCCTTTTTTTCCCTTCAAAAGTATAATTAAAGACTTCAATTAAATGTCTAAAGTTGAAAAATTTACATTGAAATCCTGCTAAAATTAAAGTTCTTTTTATAAGTGGTTTTCATTCTTGCTTGCTTGCAGTGGGTTAGTGTTTTAAGCTTAACTTAAACCAAAAGCCACTCTAGGTAGACCTTGGCTGTTCCTAGCTTACAGACTTTTATGCAAGATAAAAAAGACAAGAGGACATTTCCTATAGACTGTAGGTGTTGTGAGGACTTGATGAGAGAGCTCCATATGACACCCTTGTCCCCAGCCACCCAGAGAACCTTCAATAGGCAGAAAGCTGCTCTCTGGGCTCAGAGAAGTGTGAGGTACTCTGGGAGAGGGCATAGCAGCACAGAAGTTTGTGGTTAGGACTTGGTTCTGCTACCTGAGGCTGGGTCATGGAGAACTGAAGCTTGGGGTCAGGAATTAGCTTTGCCACCTAGGGCTGCCATGTACAAATACCTCACTTAATTTCTAGGAACTTCCATTTCCTGATCTTGAAGTGAATGTTATACTCCTGTTAAATGTGTTTCTGTGAGTGTCAAGGAGAAGGAATTAACTAAATGTGAAAGTGCTTTAAAATAGAATATGCTAAGGGAAAAATAAAATCAGTGGTTCATAATAGATAGTAAAGAAACAGATAAAAAAACTCCTAGTTCCCAGATATTGTGTGTATCCTAAATCCTAAGGCTGACTAGTTATAGTCATTCACACATAGAATGAAGTTTTATAACTGTTGATACTAAATGCTAATACTAAAGAGGCATTTCTAACTGAAATTGTATTCTTAGTTTAGTGTATATATATTCCTTAAGTATTGAGAAAACTATTATTTTTAGATCTAATGAGAAAAATGATATTTGATAGTTAAATCAAGACTATACTTACCAGTTGTTCAAATACTGGTATTTGGAAACTATGCAAAACTCCATAGGGAGCTTCAAGCACAGATATGTCCTAATTCATAAAGTGCTGGGTTTTAAGTTTAATACAAATTTCCCTAAACCAAAGAGCGAACATTGAAGATGATAAAGGAAAAATATCCTCCCTGAACTGAATAACAAATATTATTTGCCACATATTACTAGAAGCAGATTGACATGGAATCATGTCTGATCAAAGGTGTGTGTGTGTGTGTGTGTGTGTGTGTGTGTGTGTGTGACCCAAAGCGGTGCCTGGCCTTTTTAGTGAATGGGGGTATTTATTCACCTGGCACTTGTGGCTCACTTTCAGAGGGTGGAAAATTGATACTCCAGGGACTTTACTGATGCCTAAATACTGTAGAGATACTGACATTGGCTCAGCCCTGTTAATATGCTGTTTCTTTTTTGTGCCTCTTCTCCTTCTGGTACATGTTAGAATGGGCCAATGCCTAAGGATTTTCAGGTGGGAATGAAGCTGGAGGCTGTGGATAGGAAGAACCCTTCCTTGGTTTGTGTGGCAACCATAGCAGACATTGTGGATGATCGCCTGCGAGTGCACTTCGACAATCGCGATGAGAGTTATGATTACTGGTGTGTTTTCTTTTCTCTCTTTCTTTTTTGTGTGTGCTGGTACTGGGGATTAAATTTACAGTCTTAGGCCCTGACTTTTCCACTCACAAGGTTGGTGCTCTACCAATGAGTCACACTCCCACTTCTGGTTTGTTTCCTTGTTTTTGTTTTTTGCTGGTTAATCAGAGATAAGAGTCTTACAGCCTGTAATTGTCTGTCTGCCACCTAGGGCTTGAAATCAACATGCCCTTCCCCAAATGAAAGCCTATGCTTATCAAGATTTATTAGGCTGACAGAATCATGATCCTCAGATCTCAGCCTTCTGAGTAGGTAGGATTACAGGCGTGAGCTACTGGCACTTGGCCTAAGGTGTGTTTTATTTTTTTAATGTGTTATGTTTGGTGGTATGCTCCGTATCCCAACAGTAATGCATGTTAGGCATTTAGAGGATAACTCTTCAGTACCATTGCTCATACATCCACTGTTGAATTCAAGCATCTAAGGAACTTTTTTTCCATCCTTCGGGAAATGACTGAAGTAAGGTGGGCAGTCTAGAGCTCTTCAATGTATTATGCCAAGTTTGTAAGAGGAACCGGAGGAAGTTAAGACATTACCAGTTATATGTATGCGTGCATGTAGTTTCCTGGCGTGAAAAATGTTGAGCTCAGATTGTCATATAAATGAAAGACCCCAAGAAAAGAAGAATGAATTATTGGAAAGCCTGTGAGGAATATGCTATGAAGCCATTAAACCAACACTGCGTGAGTTGAAAGAGTTTACTGGAGGGAAGCTTGAAATATGGAAGAAGAGGTTATAGCAAAAATAATTTTTGGAACATTTTCTCATAGTATGTCCTGAGTGAGCCTCCATGACCAAAGTCCTGTGTTCTCCTTTGAACTAAGAAACAGAACAGAATAATTATTGTATATGTCTTAGAGAGAACATTCTAATTTCTTTGAAAGGAAAGGGAAAGAAAACATAGTCACTTGGATTCTTGATTGGAATTTCCTATTAAAATTTGGACTGTCCCATTAATGTTTTCCCTTGGCCCTAGCAATAACTGGTAGAAGAAATTCATTAAAATACTCACTCTGGGGATATCACTGGCATTTTCGGTCCTTGTCAATCCTTCACTCCTTTTTATGCTTTTAAATTTCAAGAAGATTATGCAAAACAGAAGTGTTCTCAGTCAGCATGCAAATAGAGTAATAAAAATGACTTCTAATTTTAAAGCAATGAAGTACAATTTTCCATGGTATCTTTATATCCAGGATGGCCTTCACTATTGAATTCTTTCCCTGGCTTTGGGTGATAATCTGACACAGACTTCTTTCTACAGGTGTGATGTTAATAGTCCTTATGTCCAGCCAGTTGGTTGGTGTCAGGAGAATGGAAGACCTCTGATAGCCCCTCCAGGTGAGCAGCCTGGTCTTTTTTGAAGTGCTTTCAGCATGAGTGGTATTCCCATCTTTACTTTTGTTTATGCAAATGGTATTTAACTATGCAGTGTGTGGGGGGTGGGGGAAGGAAGGCCTGTAATTGTCTGTCTGCCACCTAGGGCTTGAAATCAACATGCCCTTCCCCAAATGAAAGCCTATGCTTATCAAGATTTATTAGACTGACATTAAAAATGTTGCTAAATTCTTTTTATTCCACTGTTGCGGAGGATCGACATTTACAACTAGTTATTTTCAGGTTCATACTTTATTTTTTTAACTTAATTCATTAGATGAACAAAAGGATTGTTAAATCTGTTTCACTTCGTTAAGTGCAGAGAATCTAGAAGTGGGAAAAAAATCTAGAAGCAGAAACATATATCTAGAAGTCCACTTCCCTCACGCTTCTTAAAAAACCTAGAAGTGAAAGCTTCAGAAATGAGGATTAATGATCCTGACTTAATCCTTCAACAAACCAACTAAATGACTGAACTAAATGTTTGAACAATGATTATTCATATTACAGAACTATTAAAATACACTAGTATATACAAATGTATTAATGGAAAAAGAGTAGATTCAAAGGAGATCTCAAAAAACATTATTCCCGTAGAAAGGAAAAGTCAAAGCCAGGTGCCAGTGGTTTATTCCTGTAATCTTAGCTACTCAGGAAATTGAGAACTGAGGATCACAGTTCAAAGCCAGCGTGGGTAGGAAAGTCTGTGAGACTCTTAACTCCAATAAACTACTCAGAAAAAGCCAGAAATGGTGCTGTGGGTCAAGTGGTAGAGTACTAGCTGTGAGGTATATTAAATAGGTAGATTTCATTAGGTAGGCAAGGAAGAGAACACCATGAGCTTATTCAGGCAGGAAGACAAGTTTATTTACCAAGCAGCTGCCCCCGGCAGTGCATGGTGGATAGGTATGGCTGAAAAGGAAGGGAAGAGGTGACCCACCGCTGGGCCAGGACTTATCTAGGCCAGGGACAGGAAGAGGTGTGTCCAGGTGGGAGAAAGGTGTGGCCACACTGGATCTAGATGTGACCTCAGGGTCTAGGACCCTCCTAAGGTCAGATGGGAGGCATGTGACCAGAGGTGGCCCAGGATGTGACCTAGCAGGAAGGGAAGGTGACTGCTTCCAGGTCTGCCGGTTACCTAGGTAACAGATACTGGTTGGAAAGTTGGCAAAGAGAGAGGGAGATGACCCTGTGTAAACCTTACACTAGCCTTGGGCAAAAGAAGTTCAGGGACAGCACCCAAGCCCGGAGTACAAGCACCAGGGATGGCAAAAGCAGAAAGAAAGAAAAAAAGCAAGAAAGAAAGGAAGGAAGGAAGGAAGGAAAAGAAGGAAAGAAAGAAAAGAAAAGCGAAAGAAAGAAGAAAGAAAGGAAGAAAGAAAGAAAAGAAAGAAAGGAAGGAAGAAAGGGTCAAAGTTCAACAAAATAAACTTGAAAAGGGGTAGAGTGGAGTCCAGGGAAAAAGATAGACAAATGAAGAAGATAAGTTGGGGAGAATGCAGTCAAAAATCCCATTGTAACAATGAGATGTACAAGACACTGGTGAAAACGAACTTTACACTTGGGTGGAGGAGTTGGGGAAGTGGTTAGGGAAGGGATGGTAGGGGTAAATCAAAGGAAGAGGTAACAATGCTTGATAGGAACTGTACTCATTACCCTACTCATGTGAGCGTAACCCATCTGTACAGTATTTTTACAATAAAAATATATATGGAAAAAATTCAGTGTATATCCTGCAAAATTAACAAGAATGAGGAAAGGAGTAGGTTAGGAGGGATAAATGAGAATGTTGAAAGTGGAGACATTGATCACGATACATCATCTTCATAAACTGTGTTGTTAAATGACAACCCCTTTGTACACAAAGATAATAAAAAATACTTAGAGGTTTTCTCTATCAAGTCTCTTTGTTTTCAGGTTTAAAAATGAATGGGGATAAAAAGTATAGCTTAATGTGCTTGCTTAGCAAGAAGGCCTGAGTCCTGAATTCCAATCCCCAACCCTAAAAACATAAACAAAACAAAACCAAAAAATAATTTTTTGGCAGTGTAATATTAGCATTTTTTTTGGTCAATTGTGGGGCTTGAACTCTGGGCCTGGGTGCTGTCCCTCAGCTCTTCAGCTCAAGGCGAGTACTCTACCACTTGAGCCACAGTACCACTTCTGTTTTCTTGTGGTTTAATGGAGATAAGAGTCTCATGGACTTTTCTTGCCCCTGCTAGCTTTGAACCGTGATCCTCAGATGTCAGCCTCCTAAGTAGGTAGGATTACAGGCATGAGCCACTGACACCCAGCAATATTAGCATTTTTAAAACAAAAGTCTCAAAGAAATAATGTCTTTCAAAACATAATTCCCAAGAAGAAATGTAGATTATATGATATGCCATCTGGAATGTAGCATCTATTTGATTTTTTAATTTGAATCATTCTTGAGGTTTGCTATTTTGAAATCTTTTTTCCCCTCTGTGACTACAGATAAATAGAACTTTCCATCAAAGTATTGAGTTTGGTAACAAAAATTTTAACCATTTGACAAGAGTTGAAAGCATATTAAAACATATCTATTTAGTCTTGAAAAGTTTTTTATGAAATGTGTAGCAACAAATTTGCTTTTGACACAGAGTTGTGTGTCTTGTTTTTCTGTAAGACTGGCTGCAGCTAACTTTAGATTCTGGTTCTTTAAGATGAGGTGGGTGTCTGTCATGTGGTCAGAGTAGGGGCTCTTATGGAGGAGGACTCTACTCCTTCTTGAAATCCTTTAGGGAAATCACTTCCCTTCCATCATTATAGAAATTAGGGTTGTATTCAGTGTTCAAGTACATTATTCTGATTATGTTTCTGTGTAGATCCACAAAGGTGCTGTGTACTGCATTAAGAACAAGGGGTCCAGAAACACACCATGATTTTTTCTGACAAATAGAGGCTGAATCTGAGGTCACCAATGATTACTGGGTTCTCATTGGATTCCTTACTGAAAAATCAGTTTATCACAGATGCTTGGATTTTGCATCTCCACTCCCAATTCTGTTTTGATGATTAGTGAAATACTTTAACCTGATTACTTCTGCTTTGTAGTAAGTTTTGAAATTAGAAAATGTGAATCTTCTAGCACTGTTCTCCTTCAAGATTGTTTTGTCTCTTCTGAGTCTCTTCTGTTTCCATAGGAATTTTAGAATTTACTCGTCAAGTTCTGTTACAAAGCCAGCTGGGATTTTTTTTCCTGCTGTATTATGGCTTTATTTTTACAAGGGTAGAATTTTATAACTAGAATTTTATATAATTTTTCTAGTTTATGGTGGTTTTTAATTTTTAGTTTTGTTTTTAATTATCAAGATGACATACAGAAGGGTTTCAGTAAGATAATGAGTACATTTTCTTTTTTGTCAGTCATGGGGCCTGAACTTTGGGCCTGGGCACTGTTCCTTAGCTCTTCAGCTCAAGGCTAGCGCTCTACCACTTGAGCCACAGCACCACTTCTGGCTTTTTCTGCTTATGTGGTGCTTAAGAATTGAACCCAGGGCCTCATGCTTGCAAGGCAAGCACTCTACCACTGAGCCATCTTCCCAGCCCATGAGTATATTTCTTGTCAATGTTGTTACCCCTTCCCTCAACTTTCTCCTACTTTCCCTACCCCAATTCCCCCAAGTTGTAGAGATCATTTCCAACATACTGTCTTATATATATTGCTATTGCATTGATTTTCCCCTTGTCTTTTCTCTCACCATTCTGTTGTTCCCTTTCCCTTCCCTAATTCAAATAAACATATATACAATATCAGGGTACCAAAATCAAATACAGTGACAACAACAGAGGATATACCGTAGGGGGAAGAACATGCAAAAGAAACAAAAAATTGCATAGTACATTATAAACAACAACAACAAAGAAAATACCTCTTGTGTCCATGCCTTGGAGTTCATTTCACTTAGCATCATCTTATATGGTCATATGTACCTAGCTGTTGAGCTATTCTGCTCATCTGCTAAGCTTATTCTAGACATATACTAATTACTGCAAATAATGGAAACCATGTTTCTTTGTAGGATTTTTTTGATAGAAATTGCATTTTGAATCTTAATATTAAGTTGGAAATTATTGCAACTTTCACAATACGGAGTTAACCATCTAATGGTCATGCCCATTTTTCTATTTTTATTGTTTTAATTTCCTTTTGTTGATAATTGTAGCTTTCAGTCTGCAAGTCTTTCATGTACTTGAATCAATTTCACACTAAGCATTTCATTATTTATTCCTTTATTAAATTGAGGCCAAATTCACATAGCATACAGTTAACTACTTTAAAGTATGAAAATTGATCATATTTAATGCTGTATATTTGCCAGCTCTCTCAGTTTTCAAAATGTTTTAATCAACCTGTAAAACGTAATAAGCAGCTATTTATAAGCAGAGGCTCCCTAACCCATTCCCATTTCTCTGTAGCCTCTAATCCTATCTGTCTTGGTCAATTAATCTGTTCTAGTTATATCACAAAGAACATGTCACACAGTATCTGGCATCTTGTGAGTTTTCTTCACCTGGCATAATGGTTTTAAAGTATGTGTTGTGGTATAATTTATAAGTTGGCTTCTTTTCTCGTGTGGCATGCTACCACTTGGGTTATAGCTCTACTTGTAGGTTTTTCTTTTGACAGTTTATTCAAGTTGATAGTTTCATGGAGTTTCCTTCTAGAGCTGGCTTCAAATGACGATCCTCAGATGTTAGCCTCTTGAGTAGCTTAGATTACAAACATGAGCCACCAATGACTCGTTAGTTGGTTCTTTTTTATGATTTAATACTATAATATTTAGAGTTTACTTATTCAATTAGTCTGGTGCTGAGCATTTGAATTATTGGTTAGGAAATCTCAATCTGTGTACTATATATTATATATACATATAGTATATATTATATACAAATGGAGTGTTAAACTATGAGAAATGCATTTTATAAAAGAAATTACTATG